TAAAATGTAGAGCTAAACTTTATAGGGAATAATGTTTACCTCTACGACCCTCCAAAAGCTGGATAGAGCAACATTCGTCACAAAGGACCGGTGTCGAAACGAGTCCATCAGCGCTCAAATGAAGTCAGCATAGGCCAAGCTGGCCTAGTCGTAAGTCCCGATCCGATGTAGATCGCGGACGGCAGGAAGATAGTAAAGCAGCTCCCTACTACCCTTGTCAGGGGAGAACGTCCTTGACAACAAAATAAGCGCAAAGATATGCACCCGCTGCTCTCGGGTGGTCGCACCATCGTCAAAAGCCGCTGCCAGAGTCGAACGGCAAATCCCCCTAGCGCTGAACTGAGACGACTCTACCTCAGCTCGAGCCCGAATGGTAATCGGCCCCAACAGCTCCTCGACCTCAAGGGAAAAGACATCGATCCCGCGTCGAACGGCAATGGCACGGAGCTAAACTCCAGTCCTGTGATGAGACTGAAGTCGGTAGGAGTGACCATCATCTCACCCCAAGGAAAGTGGAAAGAGTTGGTGGTGTCCCAAAAGAACTCCACCAGAGCACGAACTACATGGTGACCCTCGCTGGAGGCAACCATTGCCTCGGAGGTCTCGTACAGCGCAGCAAGACCGCAGGACTCCCATAGGAGTCTCGTCTCGACATCTCTGGCGATGTACATCTTGTACAGATCGCCCAAACCGTCACAGCCGAAGCCATGGCAGCGCGTCCTCCCAACGGTGATACCCCGTCTCACCCTCTCAGAAATTTGGTGGACGGGGTAAAAGAACAAGGTCCGCTCATCCCACTCAGGGAGTCGACCAAGCGAAGTGGACGGCTCGGCATCGTCCTCCACGGGCTCGTGCTCCCGTCGAATGTCTCGGGACCGTGAACCAGAACCTCGTTGTCTAGCCATGCTACATTGTGCAGAATTATCATAAATTAAGGTTCTATAGTATCTAAGGTTCGCCTAACCGCATGATACTAAAACAGAGCACAAATTCAAATTGAGCGTAACGGCATTTTTCAAGCAATCAAACAATTTCTTGTAATACTATAGTAATTATTGTGACAAATTGGACAAGAATTGCTGGCAAAAACATTAAGAACGGGCCACATTGTATTCCCGACCTCAAGAGGTCCAACAATGACAATTCGTTCATTTCTTCACCAAATTGAGTCAAACAAGTCTCAAATTACTCCCAAGGCAATATATAAATATAATCAAGCAATTTCATGTCATAAAATTTGACAAACAAAGAGAATTGAGCATTCTAAGTTTCGAATTTTCGTGAAATTTGAAAATAAACACATGCAAAATTCATAAAAACCGGTGTGAGTTTGAAGAAAACTTACATAGATCGCGAAAGTGGATGAAATAATCTTTGATTTGCAACAAATTTGAGCGAATTTGGTTGAGAAACGAGCAAGAACGAAGCAAATGAATTTCTGGAAGTTTTCGAGCAAAAACGCGACAAGCAGCAGCGAAAATGAAGAAGAAAGGGGGTATTTAAGGAATACCCTATTCTGGCGCTTGGCGCTAATCCCAGCGTCTAGCGCTACGACCAGTTGTGTGGCGCTGACGTTATTTCAGCGGCGCCAGAATATTCAGCCACTCAATGAGGTTGTTCTATTTTTTTGCAATATATTTTGGGTTCCTTGGTACGCCAGTTAGCCCCTCTAAGCAATTTGACACGATTTTTAATCGGCTTGATTGCATAAAGTGATCGACCTAATGAAAGATCGTCTCACTTAACTTAAAGCGCCTAAGCATTGGCTCATTAACAAAAGGCACCGACATGCTGGTTCATTCGCAAAAGGCACCGACATATAGGTTCAAAAGCAACAAAAGCGGCAACGTACAGGCATAGTGGAAGCAAAGTTCAAGCGAGCTTTTAAAGATTGACAAACGGAGATCTTCGGTAATTTCTTTGGAAAATTATCGCAACAAATGAGGATAGCTTCAAGCGAGGATATCTTCGACGGCATTCCCTAGATTGTGGAAAGTTGTCACAAACAACTGAAGGTGATTTCAAGTGAAGTCGTCTTCGATAGTATTCCCTAGGACGTGGAATATTATCAAAGTAGAAGAGGATTGTTTCAAGCGAACCAATCTTTGATAGTATTCCCTTGGACGTGGAATATTATCAAAGCGGGAGAGGATCGTTTCAAGCGAAGCAATCTTCTATATTGGAAGCAGTTACAAGCGTAGCGGTTTTCAAGCGGGATGGCATTCTCTTGGCAGGAGGTCATCAAAACAACAGCAATGCGGCAACGAATCGGTTACCTTCAGAGACGTGTGTTCGACGGTGCAAGATACGCGTCTCTTAACTCTTTTATCTGTTTAACTAACGCTAGTTTTGCAGGTATCGGCGTTACAAGAGTGGTTTAGAATCGCAGAACGTTCTGAATCATTCTCCGTCCCTATCGATACTTTGACTTTTGTTTTCGAAACTTGCGTTTCTCCAAACTCAGTCAAAGTGGGGGCTTCTGTAGACACCCATTTGTGACTCCCTAAAACCAAACCCAGTGATGAGTACCTTTCGCGTCAAATCATAATCGAATGAAGTGAAATTGTGGAAAGTTTAGTGTTGCGGATAATTTTAATTTCTTTTCTCTTCTCTCTGTTTTTGAAAACTTATTTTAAGAAAAAATTCAATCCATTTTGGTTGGTTTATTATATGGGTCCAATAGTAATGTAGTTGGATGGGGCTTGACAAGATATTTCCAACGATATATTATAAGCCCGATTCCGATAAATATTGAGGAAGTTATGGCCAATTTACTGAATTGGGCCCAGTTTGAGCCTTATATGCGGCCCAATGATCTAAGGGAGGGCCTAATATAGATTTATCATTCCTAATGCAATTAGGAATGGTTTTAGTCTTCTGGATTCTTCTAGAAGGTTCTTTTCATTCCTAATTCAATTAGCATTGATAAATTGACTTTTGTTGACTTTTCAGAGTTTTAATTAAAATCAAAGAACATATTTTGGACTCATGGAAAATGTGAACTTTTGGCGGGTTTTGAGGTGGAATTTTGGAGTGTGAATTTGATGTTGTTGCTATTGCAGGTGGGGGGGTGAGGAGGACGTTGGTCGGTTGTAAAGAGGTGGATTGAAGGGGTTTTGGGGTTGGGTTGGGTTGGGTTGGGAGGGAGGAAGGGAGGTACGCCGGTCCAAGTGGGGAGGAATCATGTCACGGGTGGGGTTTGGTGGTGGTGTGGTTAGAGATATGGTGGTTATGGAGTGTTGGTGGATATGGGGGAGGAGGGGGTGGTCATGGTTGCTGCCATTAAATAGGGGTAAGGAGGAGAGAGAAGAAATTAAAAAAAAATAAAAAAAATAATAATAACCTGATAAACAAGTTGTAGGTAAACGGGATTGTTTTGAGCAGATGAGGTATAAAGGTGAGATTATTTCTAAATTATTCATAGGTGGAATTATTTTGAGCAGAAGTGACAAAGGTGGGATTATTCTTTTCAATTTTTTCCTTAAAATTAAGGTTTTATCACTTCAATCAGTTTTGCACAAACTTTTGGTTAATCATTCCTCACTTTGAAAAATGAACATTTAGGATTTAAAAATTGAACATTTTATAATTGAACATATTTGTGCTTATGAGCATTAAATGTAATGCATACAAATATTGAATGAACATTCAAGTAATTAAAATAACTTTTACACTTTTTATTGCATCAAAATTTATTTGAACAATTGAACATTCACTTACACGAATATGAACAAAATAACATTTGTACTTTTTATAGTACTAGGGGATCCCACCTGAGCTAGACATAGCTAGACATCGTAGGGAATTATTATAGACTTTTACTGGACCTATGTAATATTATGACATTAGATGACGAAAACATGATTTGCACTTTCCTTGATTATTATAAAATGGTAGGTATTAGAAAATAACATGACAAATTTCAACATTTACAGTGCAATACACTCACTTCAATCTGGAAAGATGGTAAGCATTACCAAAAAAAATTGCAACATTTTAAGGACGCCAGACACAAAATTGTTGATAAACATCATTTTTCAGATAAGAGTTTACCATTCTTCTCTGCACTCCCAAATATTCACTCGAGGTCATCTTCTTGTTCACTATCTCAACCTCTCAATCTAGGTTGTATATATTAAAATTACAATCATCAAACATTTTCATAACGTATTGGAATGTATAGATCAGAGTTGTTTCAAGCACGATTTTAAAATAGTCCAGATTGGTAATTCAACAAATTTGTGTGGATGATCAATCTTTAGTACCCCTTTTACTCATAATAAGTGCTCTAATTGGTAGGTATTAATTATAATTGATTGGATGACACAAAACGAATGGAGGAAATATGAAAAGAATTTCAATAAAGAGTATTAGTTGCAGATGACAAAAATTGCTAAGTATATGCAATATATATATATATAATAAAAAAGAAATCAAGTTTTCTATGACAAATTGATAACATAGTATGCTTCACAGTTAACTAAATATAACCTCCATTTTGCAGACTAAAAGCTTTTAACCGTTATTAAGATCTTTATTGCAATAATACATTTGATTCCTTAAGTACCTGGAGTATCAAAACAACTTTACAGAATTAGTGTGGTGAAGTGTCTTTTCATCATCATCCATGTCATCAAGATTATTTCTCAACAAAAACATCATGTGATCTTAACTAAATAGGGTTTGTCAATTAAACCAACCATTTTTCTTACTTTATTATATGAGCAAGGTGCAAGATCTTCCCAATTTATATAACATTTGTTGGAGCACTACTCTATGGTGAGATTGACAATTTGTTTTTGCTGGCAAGTTCGATAACAATCCATGTGACTTAGCCATATTGGCCCATATATCTTAATTACCAAATTTGATTTGACTAATTCAAGTTTATTATGGAAAGAAAGCCAAAGAGGATAAATTTTTTACTTCGTTTAATACATGCACAAGAGCAAAAGAAGGAAACCTTTACAGTTCAAATCATAAACTAAGTCCATGAGATGTACCCAAAAATAGTTTCTTGTGATATTCTTTTATAACAAACAATTAAAACAATCCATCCAAAAACAATTACAATTGCAAAGTTTAATCTAAATAAATTATAATTAAAAAAAAAATTAAAAAAAAAAAAAAAACCCACATAGATTTAACCCAAATCACACCTAAAAAGTTCTTTACCAAGTTTGAAGTCAAAATTAGCACAAGCAAAAAAGACAATAGATAAAAGATTAACCTTAACAAAAAAAAGACATTAGCAAAAGCAAAAAAGACATCAGAATCATCCTTAATCTTAACCAACTCATCTCTTAAGCTTTAAACATTCTGGGTTAATAGAGCTTTGGGCCTTCGGCAGTCGAGATATGTCGATCGGATGAAGTGAATAACAAGCTTGAAGCTTGGGCATGATTCAGCAAAGCCTCAACACAAAAATTCAAAAAGTAAAAATCAAAAATTAAAACCAAAATCAGAATTTGATATAAATTTTAATTTTTAATCCAATTGATTATACTGGCAAATACGGTTAATCTTGAAATTGATATTCAACAATAAATAAAATAAACTCACCACAAACAATTACCTCACCGCTGAAACTACTTCTATAAATGAGAGGACGCTCGGTCAGCGCTTCAATGGAGGAGAGAAAACTCGGTAGGCACTTCAATGGAGAAAGGGAATCATATGAATTACGAGGAAGAAAGAGGAAAATCATTAGTAAATCACATCAAGTCATTAGGGATTCAGGGATAACGCACAGAGAGTCAGGGAGATAAGCAGTCAATATTAATGGGGGGTATAATGGTAAGGGTATAATGGTAAATAAACATTTTCAGGAATATATATGTCATGACACTATTTATAAGAGTATTCTCCCCTTTTTAGAAGGTAGGGATAAACATTAAATATGTATGAGTAATAAGTCCATTAAATAAAAGGAAATTTTGAATTTTTGTACCTCAAAAATGGACCCTATTGACTTTTCGTACCAGTTTAAAATTTTATATTACTTTGGTACCCATTAGAGCTGGTTATTGGTTAGGGTAGCCCAATGATAATAAGGTCAGGACCATGCTTAAAGGACTTTTGAGTTTTAATGAACAAAGCTTTTAACGCACGGGGCCCTTATTGGGTAGGGTCAATATAGGGTCTGAATGTTTTTCCAATTTAATAAACAAATAGATAATGTAAAAGTAATTACATAAATAAATTTGTATTCGTATACACTTACTAATGACTTTGCTTAATATTTATTTTAATTGATATTTTATTGGCCCGCCCATTACCGACCCGCTATTGACCCACGACCCGCATTGGCCCGATCCTCTATTGACACAATAAAATGTGACCCTCTTTCACCTGACCCGCACCGACCCTGACCCGCCCAATAACCAAGTCTAGTACCTATCAAATTTAAAAATTATAGGTTTTGATACCCCTGTCCATGTTGTGATAACTTTTCCGTTAGTGGGGCCCAGTCATAAACAAACCACCTCCCAACCACCCTTAGCCCCCTCCCCCCTCCTTGTGCGGCTGCCGGCAACCCCGAGAACAACCGCCACCTCCCAGCAAACCTTAGCCCTCTCTGTACAGTTGTTGGCAACCCTGAGAACAACCTTCCAGCCACCAAAACACCGATTATTACCACGCCGAAAACTACCTTCCAGCCACCAAAACATCGATTACCAGGCATGCAACCCACCAAAACAACCTGCCGCCGCGGCCAGGCCAAAGCCCAGCCACTACAGTCGACCCTCTACGGTCATACACGCAGCCTAGTAACCACAGTCGCCGACAATTGGGCTTCGATTCTAACATACTCCAGCCTCCATGACTAATTTTGAAGGGGTTTCTATCGGATTTCACCGGTGGAAAGCCCCAACCATTTCTTAGGTTATTATAATGTCTCTCTTGAAAGAAAAATGTTTATCTCCTTCGAAAGACAAGGTTTGTATTTTCATCTCCCACAAAAGATAAGGTTTTACGAAGTCCTTTGAAAGACAAGGTTTTATTTATGTTTAATTTGGTCTCCCACTGTGCGGGGCTATGATTGATTATGACTCGAATTCGAGTCACGAAATCAGCACAAGAATTTACTTTATCACAAAATTGCGAAGCGACGATAGATCCGCTCAAAAAGTTGTATGAGACAACGAATCCAGAATGTGTCGAATTGTTATATTTATGTATTTAGATTCTTAGCCCGTTCCCGATTAATTTCTGTTTGATTTTTTTAGTTTCGTTTTCATTATTATTAATTATTGTCAATTTGTAGATGTCATATGACTTTATTAATTAATGAAATTTAGTGTCCTTTAGGACTTTTTTAATAGATATATAAACTTTCTCCTTATAACACACACATTCCCAATCTACATATATACCTACACTAAAATAGTCTTTTTAGAGGGAATTTTCCCTCCTAAACTTTACTTTATATATAATATTTTTGTAATATTATTGTAGGCGTCGCTCGAAGTGCGCCTATGTTAAAGCATGTTGTGAATATGCTTGGCACTCATAGGAAGTGGGAATTGACATTACGATTAGGGACAACGATTAGGGACAAATAAAGTAGGGAGCCGCCAACAAGTTTTTAAGGAACTTGTAAACCGTTCACGGATCATAAAAGGCAACCACGAATAAGGGACAACGAAGGCAACAACGATTGACCCGTGAAGGTTACACCCCATTCATAATCCATGAGATTACTAACTCCATATGGATCGGAACCACGAAAGGAGGATCGGGGATGATGGTACGAAGTGAGTCATGGAGTCACATTCGCCCGTATTAGCCTCTACTCAATTCTTATAGTGAAAAGTGATTCCTGCGATCTCAAAGACATACAAACAAAATATTCAATTTGCTCCAAACTATTATTAAGCTAAATTGGTTGAATATTAATGCAACATATAATTCTAAAATATTAGTGATCACTTGGTTTAATAACAAGATTAAAAGGAACCTAAATCGGTTGTCCAAATTATCTTATTAGGCGTGATTTTCAATTACATATTCCCTTTAAACATGCAATATGGTGATCATAACACTAATAGAATAAACATTAATATTGGAAGCAATTCAACAATAATAGCGTTAGTCAAATTAAATATAAAATAACCCTAATCATGATACTAGCAATATTAAAATAAAATAAGAGTAATTAAATTAATTAATTACTCACATTCCACACGTTCCTTTAAATTGCTACATCATGAATAAACTGTTAGTAACTTCAATTAAAATATAAATCAAATCGAAAGAATTAAATTAAATAAAAAGTAGAGTTGATTTAGTCCAAACCCTCAGTTAATTCTACCTTTTCACACCTTGGTTTTAAGTATAAAACTTTGGGTATTGTGTGAACTCCTTTGAGTGCTTAAGGGAAGGAATGAAAGAATAGGGAGGCTAGTGTTTAGGCTAAAGAGGGAGAAGAAAATTATTTTATGATCAAACTTGTTGATGATTGCAAAAGGGGTGATATGGCCTCTATTTATAGAGAAAAAAGAGGGGTCGAATCAAGAAAATATAAGAATTCGAATCGGATAAAACTCTTGCGATAGACAACAATTTTTGCGGTTTTTGTTTTTATCATATCTTTTGATCCAGAAATTGAAATAAGATAAATAAGATATCGTTGGAACTCTCTTGAAGTCTAATTTCTAACCCAATTGAAATCAGATTAAAATATTTTGTAGAATAAAAGATATGACCGAAATAGTGAGATGGTGTCAGATTTGGATAGAGTTTGACATTTTATTCATATCTTTTCCGTTATAGCTCGGAATTGATATTATAATATATAATTGGAAATATAATTTCAAGGGCTATCCAACTATATAAAAATTGGATAAAAAATATGAGGCACGAAAATCATATCTGAGAACATCTTTCAATTCGGATAGAATTAGGACTTTCAAAAAAAGAGTTTTATTCAATTTAAAACTCTTTGATCTTATCTTTTCAAAAAGGATAATTAAGATCTTTTAGAAACTTATAGAAGTTTCCAATTAATCCTAATTGGTTTAGGAATTGGATCAAATAATTTGGACCCTCCACATGATCATTGGATCGTAGGTAAGGTGGGCTTAGGTTCGGTTTTGGCTCGGTTAATATTTTGGCCATAACTTATTCGTTATAACTCAGATTTGGGCTTATAATATATCGTTTGAAAGCTCTTTTAAATCCCCATCCAAATATTTAATTATTAGACCCATATTATGGACCAAAATAAACTGGACTAAATGTTTTTATAAAAAGGACACGAAATAATTGATTTTAAAGGACACGAAATGAATTATTTCGGGTTTAAAGGCACGAAAAGAGAAAAATAAGTTTTGGTTTGGGGAAATGGTCTAGGAATTGGGTTGGTTTATGAAATGGAAATATAGATTCAAGCACTCTAAGATTAAATACTCAACCCGACCAATAATGGCGGTGAAAGGTTGTTCATCATCGGGTTTGGTTTTGGGGAGACGTTTTTAGGTGTCTACAGAAGCCCCCACTTTGACTGAGTTTGTAGAAACGTCAGTTTCGAAAACGATAGTCAAAGTAGTCGATAGGGATGGAGAATGATTTAAGACGTTCTGCGATCCTAAATCACTCTGTATACGCCGATACCTGCAGAAAAATGTTAGTTCTACAGATAAAAGAGTAAAGGGATAGAATGCTTATCTAACACCAGTGTATCGGTGGCAAATGAGCTTGGTAGCTTCCTATGCTTGAAGGAATCCACCGGATGACGTTTGTTGAAATGCTTTCCATGCCTGAGGAAAGCCGACTGGTAAATTTGGTAGCTTTCTAAGCCTAAAGAAATCTACCGGATGATACTTTATATGCTTGAGGAAAGTCAACATATGATTTTGGCGTTTTTCTATGCTTGAAGAAATCCACTGATAATGCTTCCATGCTTGAGGAAAGCCGACAAAGGAATTTGGCAGTTTTCTATGCTTGAAGAAATCCACCGGATAATACTTTCCATGCTTGAGGAAAGTCGACAGATGATGAGATTGCAAGTCTCTATGTATCGAGAACCTTGTGTCATGAAATGATGGTGGTTCGATTGTCCCCGAACGTGGGTTGTAGATGGTCTGCTTGTCCCCGGATGTGGGCTGTAGATGGTCCGCTTGTCCCCGGACGTGGGCTGTAGATGGTCCGCTTGTCCCCGGACGTGGGCTGTAGATGGTCCGCTTGTCCCCGGACGTGGGCTGTAGATGGTCCGCTTGTCCCCGGACGTGGGTTGTAGATGGTCCGCTTGTCCCCGGACGTGGGCTGTAGATGGTCCGCTTGTCCCCGGACGTGGGCTGTAGATGGTCCGCTTGTCCCCGGACGTGGGTTGTAGGGTTGTAGTTGGTCCGCTTGTCCCCGGACGTGGGCTGTAGATCGTTCGCTTGTCCCCGGACGTGGGTTGTATTTGGTTCGCTTGTCCCCGAATGTGGGCTGTGGATGAGACCTGCAAAAATAAATTTGCCAATGGACTCGTATATATTGTGATAGACTTGACCAACTGACTTGACCAAGTTTGACTTGACATGACATGACATGTGTATGACTTGTGATTGTGTGTGTCTTGAGTGAGTGTGTGCACTGACACAAGCAATTAAAAATGCAAAAGCAAAAATTTTCCGTCATTTTTGTCATGAGTGGAGGGTACTGACTTTCTCCTGAGAAAGAAAGACGTGAAAAATGAAGTTTTGTTTTTGAACTTCCCCAAAATAAAAGTCATGATAAGAAAAGGGAAGAAGTTTTGAACTTCCTTGTTGAGCAAGACGAAATGAATCACATGGATTTTCTTCTTGTCATATTGAACTGCCCGTCTTGAGTATAATGTATGCATGATGTATGTTCTTAGGCTAGGAGGCTAAGGACAATTACGTCATGTGACACGATAAATGAATGAACTTAGGTCATGGAGCTAAGTATCACATATGGTGTAAAGAAACGATCTTGAACGTTACTTAGGTTTGGAAGCTAAGCACGTATATAGATGAAGTGATCAATGAG